GGCTCCCCACATATCTGAAAAAGGACTTTTTATTGTCCTTGATGCTCAAAGCTAGCTGGAGTTCAGTTGCAGCCTTGGCTTTCCTGGTCTGCTCCCTACAGACCAGGATTTATTTCTATCCACCATAGAAATAAATGCTGCAATGAGATCAAAACCAGGGCAGTGGGCAAAATGGTATGTATGTTGATGACCAGTATGTTAATGACCATTCTGTCTGTCCTGGACTAGCATCTTCAGGAGCTTGTGATCTGCACTTATTCTGACCAGGTCTGATGTGGTTCATGCTTACCCCCTATCCCAGTGGAGAGAGAGAGAGAGACAGAGAGAGACAGAGAGCGAACGCAAGCACCAGAAGGTAAAGAACCTTGTTCACCCCAAACGTATCTCTGCAGTGAATCCATCAATTCAAGCCCTTCCCACTCCACTCCACAGCCCCAGAGGGAGTTTTGGTGAACTGTTGTTGGGGTACGGGGGCGAGGGTTGCTGACCTGGCCCGCAACAGCTGATCAAAACTCCCTATGTGGCCCTTGGGCCCAAATAACCGCCCACCACTGCTCGCCAGTGGGGCAGCTAGCAGTCAGCCCCAAGCAGGATGGGGATCCCCACCGAGCTGGGGGCTCACTGCTAGCTGCTCCAACAGTGGATTGGGGCAGGGGCTGGGACCTGCCCCTCCCCTGCAGCTCTTTCCAGGCCCTGTACCTTGATCATCCAATTGAGGCACGGGGCTGGGACCGGCCACTGACTGGCACAGTTTCCAGCCTCTGCTCTGACATCGCACGGCTGGGCCTGGAGAGCCTCTTCCCCGTCCAGCTCGGCAATCACAGAGCTGGGTGGAGAGCAGGCTGGAGAGACTGTTCCCTGCCCAGCTGTGGTCATGGAGCTGGGTGGGGAACAGGCTCCCCAGCCCCCACCAGCAGGGACTTGCCAGCCGCTGCTCTATGGCTGGGGGACAGGGCTGGGAGATCCTTAGCGCCCAGTGCCAACTCCACGTGTTCAGGGGGCCAGTGCTTGGAGGCAGCTCTAGGAGATCCTTTTCCCCCAGTACCTGCTCCACAGTTGGGGGCTGGTGCTGGGAGATCTTTATTCTTAAATTTACTCAAGATTAGAGCAGTTGACAGCACAGTAAGCATGTACACATGGAGACATGCACACTTACTGCACAGGAAATGGCTCTACTTCACAGTAAAGTGTCTCGTATAGATGCACCCCATGTATACCAACCACTCTTTTGGCTCTATGCCCACTGCTGATTCCACCACACTACAGACAACCCCAGGTAGGGAGCTACAGGCTTCCTCTCTTCACTAGGCCAGCAGAGGAGCAAGAGAGGAGTGAGACAGATCAGAGGATCTGGCCCACTCCGGGCATCTCTGCTGTATCTTTGACTTCCTGCTAGGATCTAGAGTTTGCTTTTCTTGCCATCAGCCTCTTATTTCTCCTTCAGGGTTTGTGGTTGCTGCGCTGGGGCACATCCCTGGGCAAGACCCACAGGCATCGCATTAACACCAGGTTTCATAACTTTCTGTCTTTCCTCTCACAGTCGGGCAGCGGCGTCCCTGAGATTGATCCGAGTGAAAACTTCTATGGTTACATCTACTGCAGCATCTGCCCCATAGAAATCCATGAGGAGGTTCTTGGTGTCTATCCTGTCGGCATCCTCCAGCTGCCCTCGTGGGATCCTGTCCATTTTCCCAGGGTCAGAATGTAATAATGCATCTTTAAACCTTTTGAACTCTTCTTCCAAAAGGTCTTCAAGGGCTTGTAAGAGCAGGTTATTGATTCTGCTGTTTTGGTTTTCCATCGCTTTGTATCAGGAAATGAATCTAAAAGAAAATGTAAAATTAACCCAAGGTCTAGTGAACAGCTTTTCACCCCAAACTTCATTTGTGGAGCAGTAGCTAACCTCTTTGCAGAGTCTTTGTCAGGCTCTAACGAACTGCTGTAACTAAGGGACCATCTCCCAATTCCCAACCTCTGTAGTCTAAGCAAGGTACTGCCTCTAAATGATAACTTTTCTTCTTAGCTTCCCATCACTTAATCGGCGTGCTCAAAAGCAGTCAATATTGGGACTCCCTACCTGATCCCTGCTCAGGATCACAGCCCTTGCTCATTCCAGTCCCTCACCTCTGGCCCCATCCTGTTCTCCCACAGCAAGCATGGGGTGTCCTGCAGGGTGCTGGGAAGGGCTCCCCCAGTCTGTGCTTGGCCTCAAGACCACAGGTCTGCATTTCTGAACAGCTCCCATCACAGCATCTCCCTTCCCTCATCGTCTGCCTTGACACATACTCCTTGCTCAGTGCCATAAGCAATACATCCCCTGTGCCCATCTATCAGGCTACCTTTTCCTCTCAGTTATTAATAACACCTCCCCTCACCATATCAGACCTTCTGGGTAGAGAGACTCACCGATCACAGACAACCTTCAGCAACAGCCCAGTGTCCAGAGTCCCTGAAGGAAGTAAATCGACTGGCAGGATCTCTCTCATGGGTGCCCTGCACTGGAGATCCTGTGGCCTCTACTCCAGGTTGAGGCAGAGTCAGGAGAAGGCTGATCCCCTGATGGGACAGCGCAGCGTATGGCCTGAACCCTGTGCTCTGACTCCTGTTCTTCATTTAGGTTACACCAGGGGTGGGCAAAATAGGGCTATTTTCTTGGGGCTAGAGCTGAGGGCCTAGCATGCACGTGGGAGCCAGGCACAGGTTAGGAGGTGAAGCCTGTGGCGGGCCAGTAGGGGGCGCTCCTGCGTTGAGCCGCCCACCTCCCTGCTCCCGCCCACCTTCCAGGCTCCGAGTGCCTCCCTTAGGGTGCCTCCCGTCCGGCCGACCCCTTCCCTGGAGCACACCCGCTAGCCTGGGGGTCCCGCTGCCACCATCCAAGGCTCTGGACTCACTTCTGGCTCTGTGCACCTTGGAAAACACAGGCCTGATCGTCCAATGGGTACTAGACCCAATACAAGCACTTGGGGCACTTCCCCAAGTCAGGGGCTGATTAGGAAGCCTCCCTTAGTCCACCGACCTAAGGGGCCTCCTTGGCATAATTTAGACCCACCCCTCAATAAGTCTCCACACCGGTCTCAAAGGAGAACTTTATTGATTACAGGGG